TGCAGTTGGTGCTTCGTCATCCGTAATGTTCAATTCCCGCTTGACACCTCTGGTCTTCATCTCAAACCAAAAACAGCGCACTGTGGAAGTGACGCGAACGAGAAGCATAAAAACCGCTGTGGTACGAGGAAGAGCAGGAGGCAGCGAGACGTGGAAAACTGCCCGCGCACAGCCAGCGAAAGTGGCAGCAGACAGGGACCAGCCGAGATGTCGCCAATGGACAGCCCGCAGCACTGCAGCAGCAGCATCCTGCATCCGAACTTGCATGCAAGCAAACAGCCGCAGCTAGCCATCCAGAGCATGACGTCGACGTGTGCTTGCCAGCAGCGGCCCACAACAGCACAAGCAGCGTAACCAGAACTCTGCCCCGCTAATTCCAGGAACAATCGGCGCAGCGCCGCATCAAACTGCCACCTCGCTAGCCCTTCCTCTTCAGAGCTCCGGCCGCTCCCCCGTTTTCTCCCCTCCCAATTTCCGGTACTTCGTCACCCTTCCCTTCCCGTCTCCGACAACTTCGTTGCAAGGGTAGAAGCAAAGAACAAAACTGTCCATGAAGGAGACGTTACGGCAGAAACCGTGCAGTCAAAAGCAAATTGTTCGAAATCACGAAACCACAACAAAAAGAAATCCACACTTTGGCCCTAAAAGTTATTAAAAAGGCGTGTTGTTTTGAACAGATCAGCATACTGAACAGATCGGCCTTTCGGCCAACATAATGTGGCCTATTCGATGACGGCAAGCGCCTGCGCCCTAGTTGCCGAAGAAGAAAGAAGGTGCTTCTCAACGAGTTCAACTCCCACATACGTAGCGTAACGGCCCCTCCAACTGTCCAGAAAGTAGGCCAATTCGCAGCAAGTACCATCAACAGCCACCCACTGGCAAGGCTGCCAGTGGCGCTTCTTTGGAGGGCTGCCAGGAAGCAAGCTAATGGCAGTCTGGCCTCCTGCACCATCAATGACTTCAACAGGGACTGGCCTCCGAAACTGCTCAAAGAGGGAGGAAGAACTTGCCAGCTGCAGCAAAACAGACGCATTTGCGCGAATGCTAGCA